ATCGATTAGAAGGTACTACATAATAGATAATAAAACGTTTTCTTGTTCATACCGTATGTATACTGCGCGTCTCATGATAACTACCTTTCAATTGTTCGATTGCGTTTTGACTGAATAACATTGTTTGATAGTTCATCTATTAATTTCTCCAGAGTATAATGCTTTGCTAATACCATATAGGACAGCAAAGCAAACCAGGACAGGATTCGACAGTTGTTTTCGAACCCATTACTAACGCTAGGACCTTATAGAAAAACTAACTCGTTAATATAACTGTATACACCAAGAAATTCTGTTGAAGAGGCGGCGCTGCTATCTCGTTATTATAGATACTGTCTAAATGGAAAGCGCCGTTTCCAGATTGAATCTATCTACGAAACAGGACGCTGTTTCGTATTAGACGTTTTAGGTGCTTTCATAATATGGGAAAAAACAATATCGATTGACGTCAGAGACAGTATTATTATCCTATCAGTCAGGATAGCACGGTAAATGGCGATACGTTTTCTTAATTACAGAAATTCTGTAGTACGTATCGTTGTTATATATATATAGTGGCGATGTCCACTTACAGAATCGAAGTATCTAAAAATTATAGTTAAACCTTGTTAAGTTTGTAATTCGTTAGCAACTGGTAGTGAATATAATTAAGAAGAGATTTTTCTTTTCACTATGAAATACAAAAGACCGTATTACGAGTAATTAAACATTCCTGATACGAATTAAATAAATAAAAAAAAAATACACTGAAAGGATATATTTAAGCATATTGATATTGAGAGCTTGTTATTACCAGTTATCTTATCAGTATTATATTTAAATATACTGACAGAAAATACGATTGATAATATTAAATATAACTAATCATTATACGAGTATATATTAAGTAGGATCAGCGGCACAAATTGTTTGCAATTGATTTTATTAAGCGAAAACAAACGACGTTCAAACAATGGAGATCCCGTAGGCCACCATCGAGCCGGAGGTCGAGTACGCCCAACCTTACATCAACGATCAGTTCGTAAACGCCGCTGGTGGCTAAATTTTCGCCAGTTACAATCCCGTCACAGACCAGAAAACTGCCTACATTTAGGACGCTGGGGCCAACGTTGATAAGGCATTTAAGTTTAGCTCACAGTGGATTAGCGGTGGACGCTTCTAAGCGAGGTCTTCTTCTGCATCGGCTGGCTGATCTCATTCAGTGGGATATTACCCCTTTGATCTTATTCTCGACAACAAACGAAGCTACTTTGTTGTAAGCGATACGCAGATGGCAATCTAAACGCTGCGTTACAACGCCGGACTTATCGGTTAGAGTCAGAACTTCACAATCCCAATTGAAGAAGAGCATTTTTTTAGATTCCCTACAAATTTATTACAACGCATGGCCCGATATTACCGTCGAACTTCCCCATGTTTTTGGCATGTCTCAAGCTATCAAGGGCAATGGCTCTAGGCGATGTTTTGGCTATGAAGCCTGCGGAACACTGACGACCCTGTGTCTCATCAGTTTAACGAAGGACGTTATGCTCAATGTTAGGCAAAGCCGTATTGCGATAAGCTGTCTGTTTATACCGGAAAACATCTGCGACGAATTTAATAAAAAGTCGGTTGAACTAGAAAAAAAGCAGAAGCTTGGCTGTTCTTTCCAGTGCCAGATCAACGACCACAAGTCGATGAGTAGCAGGCCTGCGAAATTCTTAACCTCGATCACGTCCGGCAAAAAGGAAGGTAGAGGTCTTTCTTGTGATGACCAGTGCAGATGTGACTGCAGGTAAGAGCACGTTACTCACTGAGCCAAGTTTTCGCCGATGTGATTGATAATACGAAAATAGCCAAAGGAAAATACTTAGCCCCGTTTAATAGACTTTCAAGTACAAAGCATTCGAAGGCAATTGAACGTGCCGGCAAGAGTACCTGTGGTTTAGAAACTACTATTTACGTCACATTGTGAATAGGATATAAAAATTCACATGAGAAATCCTTGCGGGCATTGTCCAAGTAAACAGCTGTCTGGTTGGTGCACCACAGGTGTTTTTTGGACGCTTCAAAATGTCGAGCATTAGTCGCGGGGCTCCTATGGAGGGAAACTCCCATACTGTGAAATCAAGACGGCAACAATGAAAATTCCAGCCGAAGCTTCTTAGATCGTTTTAAGTGCGTGACTTTTATTCGTGGCTTTTATTTGAGATATACATTTAGTATCAGTACTTACTCGGTATGTGAACGAAGAAACTTACTTAAAAAATCTACTTGTAATACGTAGACTATCAACGCGATTCACTTGGATTCCCAATGCCCAGCAATAAGTTCTACATATCTACCTTAGTCAGCAATTTTCAAACATGACATTTTATGATATGTTGCGCCTTGAGGCACACACGGCCGAATTGAGCTTGCCTAGTAGAAACTGATGTAGATTTTCTAGTAGTTTTTATAATGAATGGCGCGCGCATGACTATGAATACGTTGGCGAAGGCTTCGACGCACAGTTGTGTTTTTATTCAAAAGGGGCGGGGGCGGGGGGGCACAGTCAGGGACCTCGCGCTACACCATATCCGTTGATAAATAGAAATTTAAGAACACTTTTTTCTTCTGCTAAATCCCATCATTGACATCAACATGACATTTGTGAGAAAGTTAGTCTGGTAACGAGCACGCAATACATAATAGTAGGACGAAGACGCGCTCGCTTTGTGTTGGTGAAGGGCCAACACGCCGAGATGATGGTTGAGGGCAGTACGGGAGTTACACTTGAAACATTTTTACCCAATCAGATTGGTAAGATTATTGAATAAGGGGAAAAAGTTAGAATGTGTTCATTCTTGAAATTGAAAAGTGCATGTCTAATAAAGAATTGCCTAGGTAGTAGGCCACAGAAAATACTCACAATAGTAACGATAATAATGCACGTTTTAGTAACGTAAATAGGCCATTGTACCGTAACCTATTCAGTTCGACTGTTTAAACATTCTAATTGTGTATTGTATAACAACTTCTCCCCAAAGTAGATCGTATGAATAGTTATTAGATAGAATTATTATTAGATCTATCTTAGTAACAGTGGTTAGCACATCATCCTCGTGGTGGGATTCGGTGTGCTAAGACTAACGATCGGCAACAGGAATCCAATAGTAGAAAATGACTTCTTGTGCAATTGATCTCTCTTTCGTACGGTATCTGGTCTCAGACGTGCATGCGTCGAAAGTAACTCACTATCAAATAGATTGCACGTGTGCACGATGTCGTGCCCGTAAACATTACGCTTCTTCCTCCAGCGAAGCAGAACGCTTTGTTGGTACATTTATCTCTTCTACTGTTTTGTTAGGGCTGCGGCACATATACATAATGTTCTTGCATAACAAAGTACGCTAACATTTAGAGTAACATCTGTTCCAGTTGGAATTTTATTGTCTTCAAATGTGGACTTCAAGTGTGCCCTGCTGTAAACTTGTTTACCCCATCCAGGATATATTAATTGGTTTTCAATGACACTTGTATAGCTGTAGGTATACCTGTAAATATTTAACAAGCGACAAGTCCACAAAACGAATTGGCTGGATTGATTTCGCAAAAAGGCTATCTTATTTTAATAGATAAATTTATTTATTCCACTATTTACTACTACTACTACTACTAAGTTAATTTCTGTCATTAAAAGAGACAACATATGCAATGAGCGAGTCTAACCAACATGTTACAAGTTTAGTGTACAGCGGTCTTCTATTCAAGATAAAAACAGCCATAATTCTTTTATCTGCGCTTCGTGTACGGCCGTCAGACAAACGCTAGCCTATGCCGCAGCGTGATCTGCTTCTCGTAATCGCGCTATCTACTGTTGCTAACGGTGCGGGCGACAGGAATCGATAACAGATCGGCGGACCGGTCGCTCATGTAACCAACTGTGATCTAACTACCAGATAAGAAGTATGTCCCTTGTATCTCGTATTTGCTGTTTGCAAACCGGCGCTCTCCTCTTGTCTGCCCTATGCAGCCGGGTCATGTTGTCACTCCAGCTAATTATCTCTCATGCTCTGTCTGCCAAACGTGCGCGTACCGGTGGCGATCGTTTCGCCTCCGATATTAGGCATTTATGTGTAAGCTTACCGCTCTTTAAGAGGAGAGCGACGGTAGCAGCAGCAGCGGAAGTTCGATGAACTTAAAGAGTAGTCTAACAGCGTACAGAATCAGTTAATACTAAACAGTGTCTACACGTGTACCGGTCGTTTTGTCTATTTGAAGTGAATCGGGTTAGCTCTCCCTCTACCTACCTCCTCGAAGACACGCTTTTATAAACCGTGTCAAATGTAGAGTTTTATAAATATAAAGTAAGGAAGTAGCTAGTTATGGTGCGTACTTAGTGCTGATCAAAAATGAATCGTCTGCGTTCAATCTAGGCCACAGCAAATGTTTACCAGTGTAAACGTCTCTTTGTTACAATGTACGAGACCTGCTGATAGATGACTCATGCGAAAAGGCTAAACTTAATTATGCAAAACCAACAATAATAGTCCGTCACAATGAAATCAATATTCGAAACGTAAAAAAGAGTGTCGCAGCAGACGAATAGCAGACGAACGACCAGAAGGCGTTTGCTGCCATTGTCAAATTATGCGACTCAGAAGTAAAATCTCATATCGACACTGAATCTGCTTTCGTGGCAGTGTTGTTTAATGCTTACCATCGATCAGAAGCGTCTACCGGTGAAACCAAAGGCCGATCCTCAAGTAATTCGTTCTTCGCTTGCAGCTCCTGTAATATCTATCACAATCTTAGCGTTTTCTTCCGTTAACAACGCCACCTAATTTTTCGAACTTTACGTCCGGCACCGCTGTTAGGCATTCTGTCGGGCGGCTGGTTGAATAGCGCCACCTACCAGGCCGGCGGACCATCAGCGTCGTCTGCTTATCAAAACGATATTCTGCTGGCGCTATTTTTGTTTTTCCTCAACGGAGTCCTACTAACGAAAATGCGAGTGCTAAACGAAGATTGGGCCCAAACGCTTCTTTCTCTCTGCGCAGCTGATTATTGTCCCTCTGCTTCGGTTCTGTCTGTCGCAACGGCGGCAGACGCGTTAGCGTTGGAAGTCGAATTGTGGCAAGGTATGCCCGTATGACAGAGGGGCCCGTAGCCGGCCGTTAAAAGTGTGTATGTCTTCACAAGCCATCTATGCGTGAGAAGCTTTGGAAAAAAGCGCTTTTATCTCAATATGTTTGAGCTATATACTGTGAAATTCCATAAGCAGATACGTAAGTATGAGTCTGAGCTTCTTTTCCCGAATGCTTGTAAACGGTGTCGTCTGTGGGTATATGACGAATATGCCATCAGCGGGAATCGTAAAGGCGTCCGCATAGTTTACATAGTTGTTTACATCATTTCAGCCGGACGACCTCTATCTACGCGCCACTCCCAGCCAACTCTCATGAACTCAGTTTTCCGTTCGGTTAATGCTGCTGGCACTGGCTCGATTGACTTCTGATCGTTACCTCGGTCCGTATCGCTGTTCTCGCTGCTGTCTATTTTCGAAACGTGAAACGCTTTCCCATTAGCCGTTACGTGAGAAAGGAGCGCGTAGCTCTAGCAGCTACCACAGACTTGGGCAGCGGCGCCGTCGGCGAGAGAGACAGCGTCTATAGCTGACGGTGTGTCGTACCCGGTAATTCGTGGCATGACGCTTTCCCCTTTCTGGCTTTAGACGATTCGATTGCCGCGTCTGTCGCTAGAAGATCTATCGTGGCATACAACCGGACGTGGTGCGATAGCAACTGGTGCCGTGAATTCGTAAGTGCGCGTCATTATCTGGTCGAACGTGTGTCATTCTACTGCTTTTCTAATACAAGTTGCAAAGACCTACGTTGTTACTACTCACTTAATATCACTTATTGTCGTCATCGGCAGCTACAGTTATTTTTATTACTAGTACTACGTTTTAGCTTCGCCATGGATCAGCTTCCGCCACCGATTACCAACCCTGAGGTGAAGTATAAGCAATTGTACATCAACGGCCAGTTCGTCGATGCTGAGAGTGGCAAGACATTTGCCACATACAACCCTGCTACGGGCGAAAAAATCTGCGATGTACAAGAAGCCGGGAAGGCCGACGTGGATAAGGCAGTGGCAGCAGCTCGCGCCGCGTTCAAGTCCAACTCGCCATGGAGGACGATGGATGCGTCGGCACGAGGTCGCCTTATGTACAAGCTTGCCGATCTTGTAGAACGGGACATAGCCTATCTGGCCAGTATTGAGACAACCGATAATGGTAAACCGTATCAGTTCGCAGTTAGCGACGTGAGGTCAGGTGTCAACTTGCTACGGTACTACGCTGGCTTGGCCGACAAGATCCACGGTCGCACTGTGCCTGTTGATGGAGATCATTTCACGTACACCCGCTACGAACCCGTTGGAGTTTGCGGACAGATTCTCCCATGGAACTTCCCTCTGTTTTTGACCTGCCTTAAGCTGTCGCCTGCTCTAGCAGCCGGCTGTGTTGTGGTTATCAAACCAGCAGAACAAACCCCATTATCGGCGTTGTACCTAGCCAAACTCTCGGATGAAGCCGGCTTTCCGGTTGGTGTTATTAACGTAGTCACCGGCTTTGGTGACACTGGCGCAGCAATCACCAGCCACCGGGATGTCGACAAAATTTCTTTCACAGGATCGAGCGAAATTGGGAAATTAGTCCTGGAGGCCGCAGGCAAATCGAATTGTAAACGAACCACCCTTGAAATGGGGGGTAAAAGTCCCCTGATCGTTGCAGAAGATGCGGATCTCGACCTGGCCGCAAATATTGCCCACACAGCGATAATGTTCAATGCCGGCCAGTGCTGTGTTGCAGCCAGCAGGCTCTTCGTTCACGAAAGCGTCTACGAACAGTTCTGCAAGAAGGCTGTAGAACTCGCTAAAAAGCGCACAGTCGGTTGCCCATTCAAATGTCCCGATCAGGGACCGCAGATCGATGAACAGCAGACGGAAAAGATTCTCGAATTGATTGAATCGGGCATAAAAGAGGGGGCCCGCTTATTATGCGGAGGTCAACGTGCACCCGGTGGAAGTGCTTTGTTTATTGAGCCCACGGTCTTTGCTGATGTTACCGACAACATGCGAATCGCTAAGGAGGAGATCTTCGGTCCAGTTCAGCAAATTCTCAAGTACAAGACGCTTGAGGAGGCTATCGAACGTGCCAACGACACCCCGTATGGATTAGCGAGCGGCATCGTAAGCAACAATATTAACACCATTCAAAAATTCGCTCAGGAAATCCGGGCCGGTAACGTGTGGGTAAACACCTATCTCGCGAACACCCCACAAACACCTTTCGGCGGTTTCAAAATATCGGGCATTGGCCGTGAAGGCGGAATTGAAGGTGTTTTGCCGTACTGTGAAATTAAGACAGTCACAATGAAAATTCCCGGTAAAATTTCTTAAATTGAAGCAGCATCGTGAAAGTCGGGAAGCACTACGTCTACACTGGACTTCAGTGACAGCAGTTGTCGTTGTCCACTTTTCGTATTAATTAGCATAATTTATGGGCTATATGTTTGATCGATACAGGTGTGAGCGGTCGTTGACAATTGTACGTAAAAAAATTAGCAATGAAAAGCTGCAAATAATAAAATTTATTCAGACAACGGCATAAATTTTGCTTTGAATTTCTGTCCTTATTTAATATTTTAACTGTCTCTGTAACTTACGTATAGACGGACAAAGCGTTTTACTAGGTTAAGCGTAATAATCAATATTCTTAAAAAAATTTGGCTCGTGGAATAATGAATCAGTTATTAAGCAAGATGAAGCGAGTAGGTGTGAGTGAAACCAAGGTCGGCATTGTAAGGGATCTCAGTATTATTGGCCGTATTTCGGGGAAAGGTAGATACAAACCATGCGATATTACGCTAATAATACCTGGACGAGAACGTGGCGACCTCTTAGCTACAACAGAAAATTTTGTTTATGGTTCTTCGCGTCATTAGATAGATCGTCGAGCCGATTTGTTAGAATATATTTTGAATCTCTGTCTGCATCCTACCAGAATATTCGCTAGCTTGTAAATTGCACTATTCATTGATATGGTAACTAGAAATAACTAGAAGTAACTAGAAATAGTATTGTTGTTTTTGCGAACCCTTCAAATATCGAAATGTGAGAGGCACCTCTCGAAGGGACGAACCTTTTCCTAATTTGGCCTTGAATCGTTCCGGTTTTACGTAGTAGTTATGCCAGGCGAAACTTTGCTAGTAATCTGAATAGTCTCCATGGTGACGCAATAGAGTAAAAGACTAAATCACAACCGTACGTGCTAGCATTGATACACTACTATAGATAGAAACGTATGCATCGCTTTACTACAATGATGAAGTGATTTGAGCTTAGCTAAACATAGACAAAATACGGTATGCCGTAATAGTGCTGCTGCTCGGTTTAACTAAACAAGTTTTTCGAAGGCACATTATTTGTGGCCGATTGAGGAACAAAGCTGGCTCTATCCGCGGAGACCAGTTGCCGTACTGGCTTGAGATCAGTTTGAAGAATGAAGGTAATCTTGGTAGTAATGGTTTTTGTACGAGTACATTATACAAGCAGTGTCACATAGATAACACATACGAGATATGACTCGAAAATTATTTTTACTAGAAATGTTTGTTCTTTCATCACCATCGTCTAAACACATACCACGTCACGTTTAGCCAAATTCGTCGGTATATAAATAGTAAATAATGTTTATTCATACAGTGGTTTTCAACGACCACTCTACGAGTTAGGAGCTAGTAAACAATGACACCGATAATAAAATACATTTTATCATATAGTTTATGTTATTTATATATTTATGTCTCACTATGTGTAAATAATTAGCAATATAATGTTCAGTACGATCTCATTGCAATCGTAACCATACGTAGCATGGAACGAATTTGAGCTCCGAGACAACGATCATTTTTACACCTAAAGATTTATATCAGGTATGCTTGGCTTAATAAAGTTATACTTTAATTGAAAATACAGTAGATATGTTAGAGGAGGTCCTGCGCGATACATCAATCAGCGAGTCTCACGGATGCTAAATCTTGAGGATCCCAATTTGACATTCTCAACCTGGAATTACTTTTTCATTTTCAGTAAATGCTTATAGTCTAAATAACTATAGACTAGCGGCGTAGATAATTTTATCAATAAGATCTCTCTTTTTCCAGCTTAAGGCAAGATTTTTCTAAAAAAAAATATTTTCGCCTACATTTTTGCTTTGAACGTAAATTTTCTTTGGTTCCGTCGCTAGTTCCTTGACTTCTGCTGACTCGTAGCAAACTGGCGGTAGCAAATCTGACGTTCTTAAGTAACCTCTGCTACAACTCGGGTTCAGGTCTGAATGCCTTATCAAGCGACGCGGCTGACCCTCAGCCAGTGTCGATAGATAGACAGTCAAACCTATGTATGAAGTGCTTTTAATATATAGAAAAAACCAATTGAAAGATGATTGGTTAAAAAGTGGAAAAACCAAAGGGGAGCCACAACTGACTAATCTTTTCCAACACATAACGTTAAAGCATATGTTTATATTATTTAATGAAGCTCTCTTGATGTCAAGAGATTTCTGCCAAGTGATATACAAACATATAGATTTTACTCCAAGACACTGCACTAATTATTGCCAAGGCCGGCATACCTTGGGCCCTCGATAGTTCACTAATACGCTACCTACAAAAAAACGGAAATACTAACGAAAAAACCTAGAGCGAATGAGAAAGTGTTTATTTGTCCTCTTTCTACGTTGTTTTTTTTTCATCCTTCTAACATCATGAAGCTATCGCCGTGTCACACCGCAACTCTATGCCTCTGTGTCTGTCGCAACCCGGTGTCATGGCAGCTCCATAACGCGATTACCAACAGAGACAATACAGTGCAGCTCTTTTGATGGGAGGCAGTATCGACGCTCCGTAGAACAGTGACCGGAATCCGGTTCTTCAAAATCGCGTTTTGCCTTTACCTCTGCGTCGAATTATGGGACAACAATGCGCTCCAACAGTAGCAACAGACGGTACCATTGAATTTCTCTTTGTCGCTCTCTCGCTGTTGTCGTCGACAATGACAAGAGAAAGCCGGCCTCGTGGCTAGTCCACTTTTGCCTGCAAGGACCTTAGCGGAATCAGCCACCAGAAATCGTTTGGCGCCTTTTACTTTTTCGGGCACTCTCAGCCTCTTTTACCTGCGTGCCTCCTTGATGCCAAAGCTAGTTGCCGTTTTCCGGTCGACACTCGAATGTCCCGATATCCAACTCGTGTAACTAAAGGCAGCTTTTTTCTGGGTAGGGAAAAGCTAGAAGCCTTGGCATCGGCTCGATGCAATCACTCTTGGTTTTGGCGGGTTGCATCGACTGCGAAGCTGAATCTAGGGCCATGTAAAAGATACACTTTCTGTTTTCTTTTTCGCTCTTCCCGCACCCCTCCCGTATCCCTCGTTTTCTCTACCAACCGAGAGAGTTTCTGTTGATAGTTTCGCTAATCGAGGGACCGTAAGAGGCCAATACATCGGACTTGAACGGCTGACGGCAGCAGCAACGAGTCTTTGGTAACAATGGTGTGCAGACGAATCGCCTGTAGGGCTATCTAGTACGGCTTCGGATCGCGGAAGAACACCTACCTGCAGCGGTAGCCGAACGGAATAATGAGTTAGGGCGGCGTCAGTGGCTGCATAGTTGTGTAGAGGTAAATAGCAGAATTGCTATCTGTGAGACCAGCCGCGAATGAAGATAGGAAGCGAAATAGAACAGGGCAAAAGAGGAAAATTGTCTAAACAATCTGGCTGTTTCCCATGCCAGAAAAAGGGCTTGTGAAAATTTTGACAGATAAGTGCAGCGTCGCTTTGGGTCGTGGTGGAACAAAGCGGCATGAGGAATGCGGAGGGATAGTGATAGAACAAAAAAGACAAGCAAAGGCCGAGACAAACAGGTGGACACGGAAATGTAAGTACAGTGACATACACAATATACATATAGACATCTATAGAATCAGACAAAGGGAAAAGGGTCGCGGTATAGATAGAATGAGAGCCGTTTCAAATAATACGGTGGGAGCCCCACTGCGGCTGAGAGAACTGCAAGAAATAGAAACGATCGGATAACAGATATATCATCGGATATGGTAAAATTCAAATCAAAGAATATTCTAATGATTTAACGCGTCTACGGTAAAACTTAATAATATAAAGATGACATTTAGCCTTGCTGACTTCCAGCTGCTCCGTCTTTGAAAGGGTAGAGCTAAGTGGCACTCGAAGGCGTTTTGCAATCTAGAGGGATCGAGCAAAAAAGGAGGTTCCTATATTCATTGCATTTACCACTGGCTGGATTTTTGCCCTCAATAGAACATCGAAATGTGTTCTTATTAGGTTTCGAACCTAAGCAGCTTTAAACACCCCCAGGATCAGATAGATACGTTAGCGTTATCACGGCAAAAGTCTGTTGCGCATCAGCAGGGACAGTGGCATACGAAAGCATTTCGACATAACAACGTCTGTCGAACTCAGTTCGTGAACCAATTAAAAATCCAAAAAACCTACAACAAAAAAAGGCAGCTTAACGGGCAGTGGTTGATAAGCCGCAGTGAACTGCTGACATGTCCTGACCGTTGCATCAAACAAGATTTCAATATCTTCCATTTACGGATACATTAAACAAAAACCGGTAGAGCAACAGTTTAACTATCTTATCACAAATTCTTTATGTATTTTACTAACACTTGATAATGCTAACAGCTCCAGGAGGGAGGTACGGGGTATATGGCATTTCAGTTGACTCGCAGCTCCCTTGTCAGGCTTGTCACAGCTAGTATCGATGTTTTCGTGTGTACTCTTAACCGATATCGTGATCAATACCAAGATAGCTTATACAATTAGGAACGATCAATAATTCAATTAAATAGACACGGGTCACAGAAAAAGTCAGTGAAAGGTATTTACTGGCATTAGAAGACGGGGAGACGTAGCGTGCGACCCTATGCTAAACGGATACTACCAACTACTTCGTGTCTACAACGAGCATCGTTAATCTTGTCTCCAAACTGCCTAAATCGCAGAGGGCCGTGAGTAAATTTATTGCGTCATTTTTCCTTTTTTTTTTGGAGTGAAAGGGAAACGGGTCGAGGTCAGACTGTATGAATGATGACCGTTCCGTACAACAGAGTAATACTATAGGGTGGTAAATTGGCACTTTTATCTAGTCGGAAGGCACAAGTGCGAAGAAAGGAGTGCAGTTCGTATAACAAGCGTTGGATGCAAATGTATTTCCATCCTGTATAATTAATCATTAAATCAGAATCGTCGTAACAAGCAAGCTATAAAACAGTAATAAATAGTACGATCACAATATCTATATA